TCGCCTCTCTCCCATCTTGATTCGGTTCCCAAATCTCTCGCTCCCTGCTTTGGAAACAGATCTGAGCATCCCTTTTCAGGAATCGCACACACGTAGTACGCAGAGTATCGGCGCAGATGGGAATGTCGTGGATGGATGGACCCGTGCCACCAATGCAGCGCTCATTCACAGAGACTGCATGTACCGCAGCACAGTTGCTGCCCCTGCACGCTGCTCACCAGCACTCGCATGGTGTAGCAGCTGTGCCAGTCTGTCTCCCCAAGGGTCTCCTTCCCATTTGATGGATCCCCACTTCACCACACACGTTGTCCTCTCCCAGGGGCTGAGCCCTCCTGTGGACCATGCCAAAGCAAGCAAGTTGGGAAGTGTTCCCAGGTGATAAGTAAGGTTTCCACTGGCTAATTTTTGGAAGCTCCCCAGGCCTATATTTCTAGTTGGTCTTGGTCTGGAAGCTCCGGTGAAATCTGTTAAGTACTAGGGGTGACCCTGATGCTATTTGAAATGTTAAAATCTCTAAAATAAAATTGAAAAACCATGGCCATGGAGACAATGCTGATTCATAGGGACACCCTGCGGGTTTCTGAGACAGTAACTGTTTCGGGAATAGAAAGCCCAGTCTGTCTCCCGTGAAGCTGCTGATGGTTTCGAATTGCTGACCATGTGGATCACGGCCCAATGGACAACCAGGACACCACCAGGACTCCTGGTATTTGAAATACTGGGAGCTGATGGCAAATCACTCGTACAATACAGCACACTGACAGATGGATGGGTGGTGGTATAGAGAGATTCGTCATTGGTTAAAAACTCGTTGGCAAATTGTTCCCCCGGCTTAATATCTAAGAGCCGTTGACATACCCAGGAGAGAGATGAGAGCCCCCCCCTCCCCAGCCTGTAAGGAGTTACAGTCTCATCTCGGAAACCCCCAGAGGCAGTCTGTCCTACACGGGTGGCAATGAGTGAATCAGTGTGTCTACCTCACTCTTTGAAGCGGTTCCGTTGTGTCACATCACAGGGATGGGCCATCTGTGCTTTTACCAGCTGCTCTGCCTGGACCTTTAGGGTCTCTCCAGGCTGGATCTCTTTTGACTCACAGATGGGAGTACGTCTGTAGGACACGTTTCTAGGACCAGCATCCGATCAGCATTTCAATGTGCTGCAATGTCTCTTATATTTCACCGCAATGGCTTGCCTGCCCCAGCCCAGTGACTGCATTCCATCTCTTCTTCCCCTGGCAGTGAGTTTTTTCGGATACTTGCCGGCATAACGCCACACCGAGCCGCGAGAGAGCAAGGGTTATGTGCTCAACTGCTCACTGGAGGGTCAGCGGTTCAAACGCTATGAATCTGAATCAGCAGCAAAGGGTCCCATCCCAGGGTCCCCTCTTTCAGGTCTTGGATCCTCGCTCAGGTCGACCGTTCTCTCCTCTGAGCCTCCCTCCACTGCCACCACGTCCTTGGGACTGTCTTGTTTCCCCAGGGATGCTGTGACAGAAGTAGCACACGTGGCTGGTTTTCCCAGAGGTGCATTTTCTTACCGTTCTAGGTGAGTTAGAAGCACGGGCTCGGGGACAGGTCCCCGTGCTCAGCTCTGGGAGATGGCTTTCACGCCTTGACTTGTTGGTGTCCTTCACCTGGTACAGCATCTCCACTCCCCCATCTCTGCTTATTCACTTGCTTGCTTAATCCATTTCGACTCCAAGGAGACTGATTTAAAACGCTATTGTCGTGTAGTAGAAGAGGGGTCCACTGTTGGTTTAGGCAAAGAAATACCACTCCCAAATGGAACTATAACCACAGATACGGGGATTAGGCTCCGCCACACGCACTAGAGGGGGCGTCATTCAAACTGCAGACACCCAACCAGTTTCTCCGCCTCGTCGGGAACCTTCTCCCTGAAGGAGGCTGTCTTCCTGGAAGTTCGTTTCAGGCTCTGTGTGCTTGTAAGCCCCTGCTCTCCCAGGTGACGCCCGACTTCATTCTCATAAAGCGTGGTGTTCATTGTCTCTAGGAGAGAGGAAATCCAGCTCAGGGGGTGGCAAACTTTTCCTCTGAAGGGACAGACAATCAACGATTTAGGCTTTGGGCAGCCGCGATGCCAGCTCCTCGTTGTGCTGTGAACGTGGCTGCAGACCACAAGTGAATGAATGAGCAAGGCTATGTTCCAATAAAGCTTTATTGACAAAAGCAGATGGCTGGATTTGGTGCCAGGGCCATGTTTGCCCACCTCTGGTCTATGTTAGTAGCCCTGGCAGCGCAGTGGTTACAGGTCGGGCTGCTGTGAACCATGAGGTCAGCAGTTAAAATCCAGAAGTCACTCTCTCCTCCTGAGAACAGTCACAATCTCAGAAACACAGGGGCCATTCTGCCTGCCCTGTAGGGTCGCCATGGGTGAACATCAACTCGATGGCAGTGAGTTTGGTTTGGGGATATTTGGTCTATGTTCATGACTGCTGTGGCCAGTGTACCTTTTTACAGCTCTGACTGGAGTCCAGCTCCTCCTCTAAGACCTTTTAAGGCATTCAGCTCCTCAGCGGCTTCAGGAGTGGATGCTGTGCGTACCCCCATTTACAGGTGAGGAGGCTCACAGTAGCCAAGGACATACAGCCACTTAGTTGATGTGTACCTAGACAGTCTGCCTCCAAAGTGCTCTTAACCCTCTCGATTGTTGAACAATTGAGTGACGTCTTGGAGCTTAAACTCTGAGCAGTGCTTAGCAGAAGGCTGTAGACAACAGAGAAAGCCCAAAACTCGATTGCAGAGTCTGCCCGTGGATTAGGCCGCCATTGAATTCCTTCTGACTATTAACCAGGCTTGTGAACAGCTGTGCCCTTAGGCAGAGTGCTTTGGAAAGTGGATTACCACTCCCCCACCCCACCACACACACACACACACACACACACACACACACACACACACACACACACACACACGCACGCACACACGCACGCACGCACGCAAGTCCACACACAGTTTCCCTTGGGGGTGGCCTGGGTGTGTCTTGATGGAGAACGCCATTCTGGGGTTGGTCACAACGTCAGGAGTCCTGCCTTGACTACCTTCGTCGGAAGATCCTGGACCGTTCTTGTGAGCTCTTGGACGATGTCTGTGTCCCCGTCATGGTCCAGTGCCCACGTTTAGAGTCCCACTTGTAACTGTGATGCACTGATCTGTCACCAGTCCTGCTTTTGTGAGTTTCTCCTACCCTGCCAGGTCCTAGTTAAGACTTGGTGCCCTCTAACCCTCTGGACAACTAACCCTCTGGACAACAACTATTGTTGTTGCTGCTGGGTGCCATCCAGTCGGCTCCGGCCCACAGCGACCCTGTACACCGCAGAACGAAACACTGCCCGGTCCTGCGCCAGCCTTACCATTGTTCCTCTGCCCGAGCCCATTGCTACAGCCACCGGGTCAGTCCGTCCCACTGAAGGCCTTCCTTGTTTACGCTGCCCCTCCACTCTACCAAACACGATGTCCCTCCCCGGGGACTGGTCTCTCCTGACGATGAATCTAAAGTCGGTGAGACCAAGTCTTGCCATCTTTGCCTCTAAGGAGCGCTCTGGCCCTGCTTCTTCCCATGGAGATCGGTTTGTCCTTTCAGCAGTCCATGGTACATGCAAGATTCTTCCCCAGCACCCCAATTCAAAGGCATCAGTTCTACTACGACCATCCTTATTCACGACCCAACTTTCACAGCATATGATGCCAGGGAGAATCATACCATGCCACTGTTATGACCTTAAATGGTCTCCCCCACTCTGGATAATGTGTCTTTGTCTTTTCCCGTTTTAGACTCACTAAATGTTCTCTTTAGATTATATTTGAGACTTGGGGTCTCCTCTGTACCTGAAACAGTGATCCCATGAGACGGGGACATGAAGCAGGCCCTAGAATAGGATGCAGTGCTGCATGGGTTCGCTGTTCCTGCTCACAGAGGAGGAACCCTACTTCTAGCACAGAGGCCCCCCTTCAGTCGGTACTTGATCGCTGGAACGAGACGCAGCTTAAACCGAGACTCTAGATACCACGCTTCCCCCTCCATCTTCGCCCGCCCACCGCCAGCTCTGCCGGGTTGCAGACGGGCATGGGCTTTCTGGCCGGTTTCTTTCCTTGGTTGGGGTTTATGGGAGGGAGGAACTGAGGGTGTTCCTGGGATTCCCACTCGACGCTGGCCTCTTTTTTGCTTCATGTGTTTCCACCTTTATCCTGTCCCTGAGTCCCTAGGCAGGAGCGTGAAGGGGTGAAACCTTTGGGCTTTTGAGTCAAAGCAGAGCCAAGCCCAGCTTCCTCCTCCTCCTCCTGGTCCTTCTACAATTGTTTAACTCTTCTTTGTACGCCTGTACAATGGGAACAGAAATGGTGCTTACTTTGCATGACCCGATAATTCATTGAGCTTCAGAATGCAAGGTGCTGGGCCAGGGGGTGTTACCCCCAAGGGACCCAGAAAGACTGCCTGGGGCAGGAAAGAGATGACAGGCCTTGGAATCAGATGAAACCGAACCTCAACCAAGTCTCGTTCCTTATTAGCCGGGCGGCTCGATGCCTGTCATGTAGGCGGTAAATCACAGGCCATTTACAATCCCAGGGCACTTTGGGAAACTGGCATCTGGCGGAGCATGGAACCCAGCATTTCCCAAAGCTACACAGAAATGTAGACTGTTATTTTGTAACCGGACACAGGACGTTTTAATAACCACCTTGCCGCAGGACAGAAGGAGGGGGGCCTTTGTTTCTCTCATTGCGAGCCCCATTTTTTCCTCCTCTGTAAAGTGGAGAGGTGAGACAAATTCCCTCCACACATGCACTGGTCTCTTCCGTGATGTGGAACTGCAGTCGGACAGAAGTGCTGTCGACCCCTACGCAGTGCCCCCCTACAAGATCTTCCTCCTGGATTGTTCGCCCGATTCCCTCTGCCCCCACCCAGTTTCCTCCCCTGGGAGCTGAAAGAAACCCGGAAAGGGTAAGGAAGAAACAGTCTTGTCTATCTTTCAACAGGCTTTATTGGGCGTGGGATGGCAGCTGGGCCCGGAGGGGACAGACTTCCAGGACAATGTAGGGACTGGACTCGGCAGGATCCTTGCAACTCTCTCCAGGTAGGTGGGGCAGGGGTGGAGGTAGGGGGTGGAAGGGGCTGCTGAAGGGCAAGGTCTGTGGGAGGGGAGCTTTCTCTATCTCTGGAGACAAAAGGACTTCTGTGTGTGCTGATCTCTGGGTGGGGCAGGGTGGGGAAGCGCGGAGAAGAATCAGTGGTTTATGGGAGTGAGTAGGGGAGAGCACTATCAGAGACGCGGGAGACTAAGAGGAAAACAGAGACGGGGCAGGGAAGCAGGCGCAGCAGCAGAAAGGCTGCATGATGGAGAAGGCAGGGACCCGGGAAGAAGACTTTGTTTGGGCCTTTGGGTGCTGAGATGTTTCCCCTCTTGAGCCACCTCCCCACCCCGCCCCAAGCCGTGCAGCTCCCTCACTGAGCTTGGTGTAAACAGAGGAGGCTCTCTACCCCCAAAAGGAGCGACAGTCTCAGAAACCCACAGAGGCAGTTCTACCTGTCCTATGGGCTCACCCTGAGCCCCAGTGAGTTTCGCTTCCCAGGGGTACCACCCCCTGGAGGCCGCTGGACCGATCTGAACACCAAACTCCTAATTCACTGCCAGTGACTAGATTCCAACTCATAGCCACCCAGTAGGACAGGGTAGAACGGCCCCTGTCAGGTTCCGAGACGGTAACTCTTTATGGGAGTAGAAAGCCTAGTCTTTCTCCCGTACCCCACTATGCCACCAGGGGTCCTGGATTGCCCCAGGGGACTACAAGAGCAGATAGCTATGGTGTATCCTGCATGACAGGCTATCATATGAATGTTTTTCATTGGGGGGTGGGCAGGGCACTGTGTGATTTTTTTTTTTCTTTTCTGAAAAGGGGCAGTCGGCCAAATCCGTTCAGGAACCTTTGAGTTAGAAACGAGGAAAGGAGAGCCAGGAGGTCTACACTCTTTGGGAAAACAGAGCTTGATGGGAGACCCTAACTCATGACCTTTGGAACCAGGACTTCCTGGGCTGCATTTAGGGGGTGTGACTCGAAGGTTCAGGCCCAGCTGGAGATCTGCCAGAACCCAGGGAACATTCAGAACCACAGGAGCCTGTTGGACTTCAGACCAGAGAAGCACATGTTGCTACGGCAGCTGCCTCGGTAACTGGGGGGGCAGGCGGAACACGGCCTCCCCATCTTGTAGGGAGCCTCCCCGATCCAGTTGCCTCTGGAAGAGAAGGGATCCCAGCAGGTGGGGGGGGGGGGGCAGGGGACAGTTACAATACGAGCAACCTTCACACAGGCTGGGATCTCCAAATCTCACACTGCCACCTTGGGCCGGTCACTTCTGCAGGCCTCAGTTTCTATCTGTAAAACCCAAACTAGACATCCGCCCTCCCCACCCCCACCACACCTGCCACACAGGGGTAACGCCATGGATGGATACACCTAGAACTACCCCACCACCTGCCATCGGGTGGATTCCCACTCGTGATTCCCCGGGCGTTGTGGAGTGGAACTGCAACTGTAGGCTTTTCAAGATGTGTGACCTTTTGGGGAAGCAGGACTTTCTTCGGAAGCCCTCTGGATGAGTTTCAACTGCCAACCCTTTCACTGCATAATTTAATGCTGAACTATTTGCCCCACCCAGGGATTCTGCACCTAGCACCCTGCTAACAAATGTCTGTTGAGTTCTAGCCCTGGTTCTCCCCCATCTGCTCACTGGGTGGGGTGTCAGAGACTACGCCGCTTCGTTTGTTAGCCTTGATTTCAGCTTCTGAATAGAAGAAATCGTGTCTGTGAATATGCGGTGAAATGCCTGATTAAAAAAAACCAGTTTGTCATTTACAAGAGGAGTCATTAGATGGTGAGTATAATTCAGTTGCGAGGGGGTCATGGCCTTCAAAGTTTGTCCTAAACACTGTAGTTCATTTCTTCCACAGCCTAGCCCAACTCCATCCTACCTGCTGCGGAATCGATCTTCCCAAAGAACACCAACCTCGTCACATCCCTCTCCTGCTCAGGAACATTCAGCGCCTTCCCCACGGTGTGTGCCAGAGTTGGCACCAGTGAAGGGTAGGGTGAGTATACTGAACATCGGACAGCACCGTCCATTCCCTTTTGTCTGCGTTTCTAAGGGACATCTACTTGAGGAACTCTCCTAGCCTCTTCCCACCCTGCAGCTGGGAGAAGCTAGAAGGAGCAGAGCATGCTCAGTTCGATCTTCCTTTCTCCTCTTTGGGCATCCTGCACGTCTCCACCTTGCAGAGAGCCTGCCAGAAGGAGCTGGCTCTGCCCTTGGAACAGGAAGCCTGCTGTCTAGGGTTGTCTGTCACCGGATCAAACTCACAGACACTAGGTCCATTCTGCTGCACAGGACAGGGCAGACTGTCACTCTCTAGGAGGCCGAAGAGGCCTCATCTTTCTTCCAAGGAGCAGCACTGCTGACCTTGCTGGTAGCAGTCCAAGGGGTCATCCACTCACCCCCAGGGCGCCTTGGTGCTGCGTGGTTGCTGGGGCTGTGCTGGTAGGTGCTGTCCAGTCAGTTGTGACTCCAAGCCACGCCACACATGACAGAAGGACCTCCCGGTCCCACGCCACCTTCCCAGCTGGCATCATGTTTGAGGTCATTGCTGAAGCCACTGTGTCTATCCACCTTGCCGAGCACCTTCCTCCTTTTCACTGCCCCTCTCTTTTACCAAGCATGATGTCGCTCTCCAGAGACTGGTCTCTCCTAACAACGCATCCAAAGTGCACCAAGACCAAGCTATCCTTGCCTACTGGGTGGGTGGGTCTACTTCCCCAGGGAGATGTTTGCGAGTCCCTTTGGCTTCTGGACTGAAGGTCTGTGCTTTACATCGGGCTCATCAGTGAGGCTGCCTTGCACCCTGCCAGGCCCTTCTCTCCCCAGGTTGATTCTGAAATGTGAGTAAAGATGAAGAACCCTCTTTCTAAAATGACCCAGTCCTGTGGAGTGGGATTTATGGAGCATGAAGAGAGGCTCGATGTCTCGGAAGCATATTAGCTCACTGCTGTGGGGCCGAGCCCTACTCATGACAGCCCTAGAGGACCAGGTAAGATGGCCCGGGGAGTTTCCGAGGCTGTAAGCACCATCTTTCTCCCGCTGAAGCATGTTTGGGGAGTCACTAGATGGCGTGAACTTGCAATGCATGTGTGTGCGCAGCGCATCTCTGCGATCTGCTTATTGAATTGCTATGTGTGTGTGTGTGTGTGTATCTCTCTCTGTTGCCCCCTGCCCATTCCACCTCACCACCCACCCCTCAGGGCCCCTTACTTAATGGCGTAGTGGCAGACCAGGTACACCGCCTGATGCCAAGTGCTGCCCCAGACGCTGATGCTGCCGCAGGTGTGGATGGCACAACCCAACCGGTTGGAGGAGGCCCACACCATCTGAGGGAAGACAGAGATGATGGGGATATGATGAGATAGGGCCCCTGTCCTTGGGCTGGGTGGCTCCCGGCCTTCTTGCCCCCAGGATGAGGGGGCTGGAGGCATCGTATGGTTTAACCCACAGGGGTACCTGGGTGTAGTGGGAGCAGACGGGGCCGCTGCAGTGCCAAGGACAGTGTGGGTTACAGTCCCTCGGGGCCGGAAACACGTAATGCTGCTTCTCCTCGGACCACGACTTCACGAGATCCACCACTGAGCGGTACCTGGGAGGCGGGGAAGATGGGAGTTGCTGGGTGGGAGGGTAAAGAAGTCACACTGCCACCAACTTGCTTGGCGCCCCTCATTTCCTCCCCTGTCACCATGGTGCTCATTCCTGCTTCAGGTAACGCTCTGAAGATGGTTGGAGAGGGTGCATGAAGATGCTCACCTGTACTGGCACCTGCTCCACACACAGAGCACTGACTGCCATACACACACCCGGGCATGAGGCGGACACTCAGACAGGGAGCTGGTATTTCTAAGGAAGGGAAGGCTCCCTGGGCCACCTGCCCAGCTTCTGAGATGTGAGGTGGGGAGCAGGCAGGCACTTGTGCCTTGCAGTTGGGAAGGCCATGTGGTGGGGGCGACCTGGGGACTGTTTCTGTCATACAGGCACATGTCACACCAAAGGAATGCTAAGGGAGAAAGAATCTACCTGGAATCACACTCCTAACTTAAAACACACTGTTCTTTTCACCTCCAACCTCTCGGGGGGGCTGATGGTGATGGGGTAGGGCGAGGTGGAGTCTGCCAGGAACGGTAATGGTCAGGGGAGGGGAACTTCCGGGAAGGCTGAATGGCTGGAGGGCTCTGAGGGCCCATTCATGGTTCCCCTCAATGCTGGCATGGGCCTGACCAGCCGGTAAAATGCAGACAGGACACAGAGCTTCCATTGAGCTCAACTTAAAGGCCTGGCCTGGGGCCTGTGGGGCGACGGCAGAGGGGAGGAGAGGGAAATGTCCTTGTTCTTCTAGTGTCCTCCCTTGGTGAGATAAAAACAGGCAAGCTTGTCACAGCCCTTTAAAGACCTTTTTGAGATGTTACCACGCTCTGGAATCCACCGTCTGGAAAGAACTGACCCAGGACAACACCTCCTGTTGGCAGGTGGGGCCACCGAGCCCCGGAAAGTGGAAATCCCTTCCCAAGGCCACACCGTCTGAACTCAGGTCCCCTGGAGAACCAGGCAGCAGGAGGAGGTCATGTCAAGTGTGGATGTCACCATCCTCAGGTTTGGCTGTGACCCCCCCTGGGACCTGATGCATCTGTTCAAAGCTCCCACCCAAACGGCGCCCCCTTAATTTTCCATGGCCTCATTCTGCCGTGCGCCCTTTCAAATCACCCCATATTCTCTGAAACTCTGTGTGCTTGCCTCTTCACCCATCGTCTGCCTGTCTCCCCAACCAGCCACACCTACCGGTCAGTTTCTCACGTTGTGGTGGCTGAGGGTGGCTGTGATGCTGGAAGCTATGTTACTGGGATTTCAAATACCACAGGGTCACCCGGGGTGGGTAGTCTTCAGTGGAACTTGCAGACTAAGACTGATTGGGAAGAGAGGCCTGGGGGTCTAGTTCCCCAAAATGAATCCGGGGAAATCCTGTGGGTTACAGCAACATGCCATCCCACAGAATGCTAAACAGAGAGGGAGGGGCTGCATAGGAGCCCCCGCGCGGGGCTCAAACACAACTTGCAGCTGGTGCAGGATCAGGTAGCCTTGCCTTCTGTTCTCCATCAGGTCATCCCGGGCAGGACTTGACTGGATGGCAATGAAGGAGGACAACGCCTAACTGGACTGCAGGCTCCACGCAGCCACGGCCCAGTCACCACTCTGTCCTGATGCCTGGCTCAGAGAAGGGACCGAGCAAAGGGAGGGGCCGAGAAACACTCACCGGCCAGAGTGGATGGAGAGGTTCTGGCCCACGTATCGCATCAGCTGCGAGGGCCCGTGGGCCCAGATGCACTGGGTGGCCCAGGCTTCGGCGGACCTAGCCAGCCTCTCATCCCAGACCTGGGGAAAGAAAGGTTGCAGAAGTCTCCAGGCTCACAGCAGTACCTTCTTACCTGTGCCCAGGACGCTCCTTCCCCCAGCTCCTTGGGCCGCACGACAGATCCACTGGACACGTTGGAAAGCCGAGGCTCAGAGGAGATGTAGATCTTCAAGGTCAATAGCACACCCACACCAGAACCAAGACTCACCCTGAGCATCCGACTCAGGCCTCAGTGTTCTGCTTCCCTCATGGGTCCTTAGGCCCAGAGGGGTGGTGGGAAAGCGGGAGGGGCCAACGGGGACGGAAGGTCTCTACGCTGAACCCCAAACCAAACTCAACCCATTGCCAAACTCAATGCTGACTCATAGCAACCCTATAGGTCAGGGTAGACCTGCCTTTGTGAGTTTCTGAGACTGTCATTCATTACTGGTGTACAAAGCCTCATCTTTCTTCCACAGAGCAGCTGGTGGTTTCAAACAGCTGACCTTTTGGATTGCAGGCCAGCCTTTAAGCACTGCGCCACCAAGGGTCCTGGACCAGCAGACTCACATGCACACATACTCACTCTCACACACCACACAGATATTTTGACCAAGGCAGTATGCCAGGCCTTCTGTTCTATACCCTGCAGCTTGGTGATAATTCCACATCGGTGCGTAAACTTCAACAGCAGCACAGGTTCACAATGTACGCATGCACCCCGTTTTATAAAACAGGGTGCTTTACCACAAAGAAAGCGAGCTCCCTGCCACTTCTGCCTTCCTCTGATTTGAGGAGAGAGTATTCATTTCACTCACAAATGATGAGCTATATTTCTAGGTGTTCCTCAACTCATAGTCTAACACAGAAACGAGAGATACGGTGAATAATTAGTCCTCTCATCTGGGAGGGGACCCCAAGGAAGAGCCCATAGTGGTGTGAGAAGGTGGAGCGGGGCACTCATGCTCCCAGGGGCTGGGAGGGAAAAGGCTTCTGATCAAGGGATGTCCATAAAATCCTTGCTCCTTGGACAGATATTAGCTAGTGGAAAAGATACGGAGGCCCCAAAGAGGGGCCCAGACATGCCCCCAGGACTGCCCAAACCAAAGGACGCCTTCTCTGCCCATCCTGGTCGCACTCACTGACCTTCCCAATGGCCCTGGGGAGACAGCTAGCTCTCTCTCCCTGTGACGGCTTCTCTGAGCCACCCTGCACACGGGAATTAAGCAATGCCTACTGCAATGAGTGGCATACACATGCAATGGCCACTCAGTCTTTGAGTCACTTGGTTTAAAAATAACAATAAAAGGGAGAGCGGAGCAGGGAGCCATGAATGGAGCCTTGGTGTGGTGGTTGTATGTGGGTCTGCTAACCCAAGGTTGGCAGTTCGAAACCACCAGCCACTCCACAGGAGAAACACGGGGCATTTTACCCCCGTAAAGGGTTAGTCTTAGAAACCCCCAGGGGCAGTTCACCTTGTCCTGTAGGGTCTCTATGAGTCAGCATCAACTCAGTGACAGGGAGGTTTTGTCTATGTGTCAGCCCTTTGTTGATTAATGAAAGTGTTCATGAATGACTACACAACTCCCTTCTTCTCCAGGTAGCTGAAAGGTTGCCTGTTCAAATCTACCCACAGGCACTTTGAAAGGCCTGATTAACTACTCCTGGGGGGAGGGGGGGAGCAGAAAAAATAAGACCCTCGGTGAAAACCCTCTGGACACAGACCAGTCCAATGCCCACGGGGCCCAGGAGTTGTAGTGACCGATGGTAAGTGCTTTGCATATCTCCAGCGGCTGCCTCCTGGTTTCTAGTGTGTGAGTGAGTTGACCCTGAGTCATGGGCCAGAGCAGAGCTGTGGGCCTGGGGGTCTCCAAGGCTGTGACCTCTCGAGAGAGGACTAACTGGCCCTCGAGTGGACACAAACCACTGACCTCTCCGCAGAACTCAAGTGCTTACGGATGAGCCCAATCCAGGCACTTCTGCTCCTACCCCGACCCCAGCAGCCCTGATGGTGCACTGCTTAAGCGCTAGGCTGCTAACTGAAAGGTCAGCCGTTTGAATCCATGAGCTGGAGAAAAGGCCTGTCAATCTGCTCCCGTAAAGATCAAGGTGACCAGATTTTTAACACTGGTAAAGCGGGACACCATTGAGAAAACTCATATCCTAGCGAAATAGCCACATGGCAGCTGAAAACCATATACCCTAGCTTGTCGTGCATTCTTTCCAAAAATTGGGACTTTTAAAAAATGCCACGGGATGCGGGACAAATTGCTAAAAATCAGGACTGTCCCGCCAAAAGCGGGACGTCTGGTCACCTTAGTAAAGATTCAAAGCAAACAAACAAAAGTCCAAACTCCCTGCCATCGAGTTCAGCTACTCACAGGGACCCTATGGGATAGGGCAGGACTGCCCTGGTGGGTTTCCCAGGTTGTCACTCTTTACAGGAGTAGAAAGTCTCTGTCTCCAGAGGAGCAGTTGGTGGTTTTGAACTGTTGACCTTGCAGTTAGCAGCCAACGTGTAACCCACTGCTCCACCAGGGCTCCTCAGTCCACAAAGATTACAGCTGAGGAGGAACAGACAAACAAACAAAACCCACGGGATGTTCTACTCTGTCTTACAGGGTTGCTACGAGCTGGCAGCTCTATGGCAATGGAGGGGGGTGCATCCCTCTCCCTCCCCCATCACCCTATTACTACCTGAAATAAAATAACATCTATTTAATGTGTGTGTATGTATACATACCGATCTATCTGTGCTGCTCTTGCTGCCATTAGTCATCTATTATTGTCCTCACACTGCGTCCCGTGAGGGGAGCTCTGTGCAGGCATTATTGCAACAGTGAGTAGACACCCTGCACAGGAATCCCTAGGCTATGGAGTAGCATGCATGTGCCCTGGAGGCCATGGAGGCAGGGTGATATCATTGTCTAAAGAAGGCTCCACTGTCCCCAGTGGTTGGGAACAATGGTCGTGGTGAGGGCTAGGAGG